AATAATGAAAATTGGGTTCTAGAAGATGAAAGAATCTTTTACTAGATGTTATCTCAAAAGATGCTCTAGTTTGAGATTAAATTGTGTCCATCTTAACTGTCCAAGAAAAACAGGATGACGTGCTTCAGAGGACCCTGTGTCAGACAGGGTGATAAATTCTTTTAACACATGGCCATCGACTTGCCAATTGGCCTAGAGTAAATGACTAAATCCTTTCATCTGTATCCTTGTATAGAAAGAGGATAAGATTTCATTTATAGTCAACAGTGGTGTACAATAGTATTTTTGTTAAAATACAGCATCATTTTTTGGGACTCTTAAAATAGATTTTAATTTCAAGTGAACATCATGTTGTATCCATGATATATTATCTTGTAATTAACTCCAATACTTTATAATGAGCTACAATTTCATTAATCCTCATTAGTCAGTGAAATATATTGGATATTTCTTGTTGCCTAGGACATAGGATATACTCAAGAAACTTTAGTTTTCTTTTTCCTTCCCTAGTTTTCAAAGAACAGACAGACAGTACATGAGGTGTGTGTTCTTACTGACTAAAGACACAAGGTTAACCCTTCTAATTAATTTATTTTGTCAGGAATTCATGAGCAATGTTAAATCACATCCACGTATATTTCTACTTCATATATATATATATATATATATATATATATATACACATACATACACACACACATGCACTCTGCAATGAGAAAATAGTTTTTGAGACCCCACCATTACATTGTCATAGATGTGGAGTAAGAATAATAACCAAATCAATTAGAAAATAATTTCTGTGTTGCAATTGAATTGAAAAAGTATCTAATTAACATATGTCTGATTAAGTTAATTCTAAGGATTAGTTTTTCCTAATAAAATTCTAGTATTTACATGATTATTTTCACTAGAAAATATGTTGATATGTTAGTTCATTCACATCACTACCAGGAGATAGGATCTATTCTCTATTTCTAATAGTATAAAAACTGAAGGGAAAAAATTAAGCTACTTGAATAAGGATGCCCAGGGGTTCATGCCAGAATCAGGATTAGAAATCAGGGTGTTTTTGATGTTGTTAATAGTAACGATACCAACAATAATTTATTGGATGCCAAGAGAGCACTGGTTTCTAGGCAGGTTTGCCTGCCAGGGCTGCTGCTTTTTGTTTGCAAACAAAGATCTTACATCTAAATTCATTTCAAGAGATTTATCCACGTGCCTCTTAAAAACTCACATCACAAGGCCCCACAACTTTGCAAGTAAATTTTCCTATTTCAAAACTATGCATATGCAGTGCTTTTATATTTGGATAGACAGTTTGCTTTCTGATAAGAGAGCTCTAGAAAAAATACCCCCAGTCTTCCTTAAAAACTCTTACAAGACAAAGTGCCTAATTTTGCATGTCCTTTGTATAACAGGCATTTTCAGTATGATGTCTTAAAATATGGCCCATGTTCTATTTAACAAAGGTTGTGCTTATTTTGAGTTTCTAACATGACAGCCCTCACTCTGTGCCCTTCTTTACTGAAAATGAAAGCTACACCAAACAGGCCCGTCACAAATGCCTCCACAAAAGAGCCAAACAAAACCCAAGTACTGGGAAGGTTGACAAAGGCAATGTGGACAGCTGAACAGATTCTAAGAGTATTTAGTCACCATTAATTCTTTCCTCACCCCGCACCTCCTTCCTATACTTTCAAATAGCAAAAGCAAATACTGTGCATTTTCTGGTTGTAGCTTCCTCAAAACTTCTGTTGAAAAAATATCTTGCCTTTTGTCCTTACGTTTAAGTAGCAAGACTGGGAATGCCTTTAGAATATAATGAAGTTCAAAAGATTTTTAAAAATCAGAAAGTAGAGTCAGAACATTGTTAGCTTACTCAGACTTACTTTCTGCTTCTTTCTAAGAACCTGTGAAATGTCCACTACTGTAATGCAATTACTGTTCACCTCTTCTCTTTTCCTACTCCTCTCAGGCACCAAATGGTCTCCCAGCTGTGAGCAGCTTTGTGTCAGCATCCAGCATGGCTCCTTACCCTACTCCAGCCCAAGTGTCGCCTTACATGACCTACAGCGCTGCTCCTTCTGGTTATGTTGCAGGACATGGGTGGCAACATGCCGGTGGCACCCCACTGTCCCCCCACAACTGTGACATTCCTGCGTCGCTGGCGTTCAAGGGAATGCAGGCAGCCAGAGAAGGTAGTCATTCTGTCACGGCCTCCGCACTCTGATGGGAAATTCCGTCTGCAGCAGCTTCACCCGGGTCTCCCCGTCAACACCCTCCCCCACCAGGCCTCACACCCCACCTCTCCTGCCCTCCAACCCTCCTGCCTCAAAAGCTGGCTTTTACGGACTCACATCCTTTGTGCTGATGACACTTAAATATTTCTTGCCATAACTTTTCTCTTGCAGAAAAACTGACATGACTTTAGGATTTAAAAACAAAAGCAACGTTAAGGATTGAATGAGACATTTGTGTTGCCACACACTGTCTTAACGTAGTGAAGAAACCTACACCCCTCAAAGGGCTTAAGGAACTTTGAAAACTAGTCTTTGGTAAAACCACATGTGTATATTTATTCTAAATCAACCTGAACTTTTGAAACGTGCAATTGTTGAGATTTTGCAAAATCAGTAAAGGAAAATACATACAGAAAAAAGCTATGCTACACCCTCTAATCAAATATGGTAACCAAGTAAGCCTTAATTATTATTAGAAAACCAATCAGTAATTGACTTGTTTGAGTGATCCTTTATTATTTTTAAGAGATGACCTATTTTGTTGAAAAATATGTGTAGAACCCAAGTGATATCTGAATTTAGCTCCTCCTGGTGTTTTGACTTGGTTCCAACTACAATGTTTATATTTTCTATTGGTTTGTAAATATGGACTCCGGATGGTGCATTTTTGTCTTCATTCCATAAGATATCCCTCTCCCTGCAAGCCCACCCCCTCTATATTTTTTTCTTTCTTTTTTGCAAAGGTGACTTTCTGGCAACGTCATTGTCTCTGTTTGGTGGTGGGCTGCTCGGGCTCCTGGACCTGGACTTGCCCCCAAAATTTGTGTGTGCAGTGAAGGCTTCAACATCTCATGAAGGACCCTTTCTGTCTACAGCAGAGGACACAAAAAACAGATAAAACAAGCCAGTCTCCTATTTTGTATCCTAATCAAACAACACACATGCCAAGCATATAAAGACAAGAGGGTGAAAAATATCTGAACAAGAAGGCTTTAAAGGAAGTCACTTAGAAACTTAAGTTTAATGTGAAATGTTTTGCAAAGACACTTAAAATGAACTTTTTGTTAAGAAAACCACTGTGAAACTAAATTGTACTGTTATTGTTGGCTTACCTGTGTGTTCAGCAATCTCAGCCCAAAATTGTGTTGTAATTTAAAGAAAATGGAAAATTCTGCTCTAATGAATGTAACAATGGCTTGCTGTGAAGTTTACATTGTTGTACAGAAGCATGTTTCACCTGTAGGTAAACTGGTGGTGGTATTAGAAATACAAATGCTATTTAATTTTAACAAATTCCCTTTATTCATTTCTGAAATTATAGGACACAGTTTAACTGATAAACCTTTCTAAACTGATTTATTTTTCACATTAATGTTAATAATAGAGCTATTGGGTATATGTGTGTGTGAGCGTGTGATTATGTGTTGTGTTTTAAAACAATTGATTTTCTTGGACAAAATTCTATGGTTTTTTTGTCCCTTCTGTTTAGGAAGTGTTTCCTGCTTGGCAACATAGGCTAAAAAATAAGTTTTTAGAACATTGGCACAATTCATCTATTGGAAGATTAATATATTGAGGGTTTTTTTGGTATTTCTGTGCAATAACTAAAAGGACACCTCACTAGATATGGATGTTGAAGATGCATTCAGTAGGTCATTTTGATTTCTTCCTGTCTGTGCAGTGCATAGCCTACACGGCAATGCAGTTCCGCCACATTGGTTTCATGGCTTCGTTTAAAACTAGATGGCCAGATTAGTTAGGTTTTCAAATCACTAGGATGTAAACAGTAAGCAGATTTCTGACACACAAATTATGTTCAAGTGACTGCTTTTTTCAAGCAGCAGATATCTTATAGAGAGCTTTGAACTGCATTTATTTCTAAAGCAACCGAAAGTCAGTGCTACAAACAGAGGATTATAACTTCAGGAGAAGAATAAGCAGAAGGAGCAGATGAACTCTCAGGGCCATAGTCTTCCTTTGATCTTGTAAAACTCCCATTGACATCTGGAGTTCCCAGTCTGGTGAGAAAATAGACTATAAACTAAATGGAACAAAGATCAAATCCAATATTTTGGTGGAGACTTTAAAATCATACATATAGGGACTGTCCTGCCATCCAGAAAAACTGTCATAAGGTACAGAATTATTCTTTATCAAAATGTTTTTTTAGGTGGCTATTAGGGATCTTTAAAAATATTAATTGTTTATATGGAAATGCAACTAAGTATTATTTTCTTTGTCTAAATTAAGAAATCTCTTGTTATGCTATTTATATTTTTTTCTGGTTCTTATGTTTTTAAAACTCTAATATTAATGGTATCAAAGTTGTCTTCCTTTTTCTTTTTTCCCCCTAGGTCTTTTCTTAACAACAGTGAATTCACATGGAATAATTTTAAAAAGACAACAGATACAATCTGCTATTCAAAGCAAATTATGATTTAAAGCCAATTTTAAAAATACTAGAAGGAAAATGGGATAGGATATGGAGTTGGGACTGTTTAATTTTTAAAGATTATTATTATTGGTTAATGTTAACATATTTCCTCTGTTTTTTAGAGGATAAAAGTGTTTTTAAATTGGCAAATGCACTCTTCAGAAATCCTTTTCCATCTCATTGACATGGAGAGGTTAAAGGTTCAATTTCATGGCCTCTATGCAGGCACTACTCTCATAGGATGCAAGAGCATTACCTGCAAGGATAGAATGCAGTTGTGCAACAGAGACACATTCTTACTTCTCTTGGTTTTCTGTTTTTAATGACCCTCTTACTGAATATTAGGCTGAAATATAATTTTAAAAAACACGTTGGAAAGGATGTACAACACAAGGCTATGTATGTATATAACGTATGTCAAAAAGCCTTTTATTTTTATACTTCAAATGCTCTAAATTAATAAAAAGTAATAATTACCATGTTATCTTTTACTTTTTATTTTCAAAAATGATATAGTGAAATAGCTCAACAGTAGAAACATCCCACAGTAATAACAGGTGTCACCCAGAACGTGCAGATATTTTTGTTGACTTTAGCTACTGAATTAACATCATTTCAGGATGTAGATGTAAAACCAAGTTTGGTTGTATCAAGACAAAGGAGATATTTGGGGGGTACATGTTAGTACGGTAATCCTTGGAAATGCTAAGAATGTACTTGTATTTTGAAACATTTTCCCTTTATCATACATATTCTAATATTGCAGACAGCAGACTTTAAACCTGAAATTGTCATTTAAAACTAATAACCTGAAAATGCAGTTTTACTTTACACATTCTTCCTAAGAATGGCACAAATAAGCATTCCGAACAAAGGTATTTGGATGCAAATATAGATGGCACAAACAGGCCCAAGGAATTCTTCCAATTTGTAATTTAACATGAAAATATTTCAGCAACAAAACTTGTCTTCAAAGAAAACTATGGGAAGGAAAATAGTTTAATATAATTTTATGTTTTCTATTTGTAATAAAAGACTTTGGATATCATGAGTTTAAAATATCTGCTTAAAACAATAGTATTTTAACATTCTGTTTTTAAACAGTGTTTAAAAATATCCATTTAAACAAAAGTGTGAGATATAAAGTAGATCTTGGAAAATATAGCTGAGATGTGCATAATTACTAAAGAAAACCAACAGATTTACATTTTAACATAGTACTCATAAAAGTAAACATTCTTAAAAAGCCATTTTAGTGTACTTCAAAAACGTGTTCTTTTTGCTCTTTAAATATTATTTATGGAAGAATGTAATTCCTTATAAAACTTTAAATTTTGGCTTAACTTTTTTTAACCCAGTCGTTCTTTGAATAATTCTTAAAGAACTGGACACAGAATGATTTATTTTCAAATATTTACTTTAAGCACTTCTAGTCCTGTTAGGAAAAATAATTATCAATACAAGAAATTTTCATTGTGAAGCACTGTAAGAGGAACACAGGTGGCAAAGATTATTATTGCTTTTATGAAATATAATATCTGATTTCTATGCCCTTTTCTATATTCAGTTTATATATCTCATTGTTTCATATTATCTTTATTCTCACAGTTTTTTGTATATGGCCCAAACTATCATCTCAAGTTGCCTAAAGACAAGTTTTAAAATATTAAAATAGGTTTTGTTCTTGAACAAACTGTTTTCCCCATCATAACTGTACGACTAGCTTAGCTGATCCATCGTCTTTCCTCTTCATGGTGCTGCATAGCAAACGTCCATTATCTCAAGAAGGAAAATACTTCCTAGGCAATCACCAGTTCTCCTGAAGCCATGAATAAGTGTATTCATAAACCAGCAGCATCACTGCACCACCTAGGAAAGAAAAGAGCTGGTTTTCATGGCAAATCCTGTGGAATAGCACTGGTTTTCTTACTGGGTTTTTGAATCCACAGTATCTCACACCACACTGGGCAGGGCCTGTTCAAAGTCATCAGCTCTTGAGCTCCAATACAAAGATGTAAAACTATTATGGAAAATTCTCAGGGTAAAATCAAGACCATCTTGAGTCTCCAAATACATTTTTTCCCCATGAGTTTCTGCAACTTTCATCATCATTTCTCATCAGATTCTTTTTTAGGCATTTTTAATTTTTAAAAGTAAATAAATATAGACATATTTAGTCATGTAAGGGCATGTGGCTTTCCTGCAAACAGAAACCTTCAGATTCTTCCTATGTAGGCAAAGGATTTCTCTTTTTCAGTCTATAGTTAGCCTTGTCTTAGTTGCATTCGTGAAGGGAATCTCTAAGATGGTGCTTGACTGATGAGTCTGGTTTTCTCTTACAGTTTTCAAACTGGATTGCAACATGAAAAACAGATTCTGAATATTTTTAAAATCTGTACTGCAAAACTTAAAAAGAAATTGTAAGCAAAACTTCACTGCTTTTAACTGCTTCAGATGTATATGGATTTGAACTTGAAAATTTGGTAGTGGGTGATGGGTGGCATGAGACCACCATTTGTCTTGGAGGAAAAGAGTTATGTAACTGGCTGCAGAGACTTGCTATGTAACATGTCAGCAAGAATATGATACAGAAAAACAAGCACTGAGGCTGCTGAATACCTAAACAGTGGGAAAAGCATTTGTATGTGGATCATTTTGTGTTCTATTTGATGCAGTAAATAGCATTGTGTCCTATGCCCTGTAGGATAATCTCTTTTCATGTCCAACTGTGTGAAAAATATTATAAAATCAAAATTTGGAAAGATATCCTGAACAAAACTTAGAGAAATCTTGGCTGTATGAATAGAAGACTGACTTCTGATGGAAAGAAACAGAACTTGATTTGGATCTTAGTTATTTTGAACACACTGCCACATGCTTTTTTAAAAAAAATCTACAGGCTGCACATGTTTGTGTAACCATATACCAAAGATAATTATCTGTCTGTAATTTTCATTTTTAACCCATGAAGATACTCTATTAGGCCCCTCTCAGCGGCTGTAGTCGTCTTGGAACTCTGGCAAACAAAAAGAGACACACTGCAGAGGATTGTTAATATGTATATAATTGCTGCATTTATTCTTATCAACTGTTCACAATGCAAGACAAGAATATGCAGAATTGGGTTAATTTTTAGCCTAGGATATTTAAGCTTAAACCACAGACTTCAAGATTCATTCATGGGAAGTACCTGATTGTTAGCTACATTGAGCTGCCAAGACTATTATAAAAATGAGAAAGGATGTTTTTTTCAGAATGAACACAAATTTCAGACTCACTTTTCTTTTTTACTGTCTCTCTCTCTTTCTTTCTCTTTTCTTTTTAATCTTACCCTTAGCTCAAAAGTTGTAACCTTCAACTCAAAAGATACCTTTCTCTCTACCTTTCTTTCCTTTGAAGTTGCCAGGACTTGCACATTAGGAATGAAGAGGAGACCAGGTCCTTGAATGAGGTTTCCAGTTATTCACAGTTTTGTTTAGCCTGGACAGTAAGTTCACAACAACCCTTTTCATTAAGTTTAACATGACAGCAACTCAGAACACCCCCCCCAAAAAAAAAAAACACATTTAAAAAGCCAACCAAACATCTGCAAGCCTCTAACAAAACTTGGGGTCAGATTATTTAAGAGTTTTGGATTAAGGTTCCAGTCAATTACCATTTTAGCTAAACTCTCCCTTGTCACCACCCTTTGTAGGCCCATTCCCTTCTGAGAAAGCTGGTGCTGTGATTTTCTCTAATATTAGGTCTACTAGCAGGTTTTTACTGTGTGGTGAAGGAAAAACACTGCATACTGGCAGAGATGCAGAAAATTTCCCACGTTCTTTATTGTTGGGTTAGTTTTTACACACGGGCCAATGCCTAACAGAAGGCAGGTCTGAATCTCAAATATGAAACAAAATCCATGCTTAAAGGCCTAGGAAGGTCGGGATAGATGGACTGGGAACTGTGGAAGTGTTTTCTAAACACATGAAAGTGCGAAATGTTCACTAGCTTCAATTTATAGACTGTTGTCTGTCTTAGGTTGGTAGAAATGCTGGTTCTTGGGCTGAGATCTAAAGGCAAACATGCATGTGTGTTTGTGACGTGGGGAGGTCGGGGTGGGGTTGGAGGGAGGATGTTGGTGATAAAAGGGAGGAAAGGCGAAGGGAGAGAGGAGAGGACTGGGAGAAGATTTTAGGGAAGATTTCTAGGGAAGATTACCAGGATGTCTAAGTAGGTGAGTGCGGCCTGGTAAAAAAATCTGTGTGGTCTTGAGCATACTTTTGTACGCATTCACAAGGTTGCTTATAATCCAAGACTATTTGCCCTGGCGGTTGAGTCTGCAGCAGTTATTTTCTTATCTATTTACATAGAGGCAGCTGACTCTCCCTGTGGGAATGGCAGCCGGTTTTTTGTGGGCTGGCGTCCGAGGTGAGGCCCTGAGCCAGAAGCCTCCACGGTCACGCTGACAGAGGCCAGGAGAGGTGAGCACCCGGCTGGCCGGCCGCAGCGTCACCACTCCAGGGTTAACTGTGAGGACCAGTGGCTCTTGCTGCTCGTGGAGTAAGTTGTCCTCCTTTTCTTTTTTTGAAATGAAGTTGAGGCAGGAGCAAGAATGAATAAGGAAGCACAGGGACAAATTTGGCTGGGCTGGTCCCTCAGTGAAAATCCCCACTTCGGCTGAAGCCACCTGGGTGCTCACTGAAACCCCTGCTAGCTGTGGATCCTTTCCTAAATTGACTTAAGCTGGGCTTTGGTTCCCATCAGCCTCCAGCAAGGACATAAATCATACTTTATAAACAAAGGTGGAATATTTCTAACGGATGCCTTCAGTATCTCAAATAGTCATAGACAACTTTATATCCTCAAGGTTTCTGTTTTACATAAAGTGGTAAATTTTTATTGTGTTGCTGATAGACACAAATAACAAAAGAAGAGATATTAGAACAATAAGGCAGGATTATAAATAAAAATAACATCATTACCTGGTCCAAGTCTCATAATCTTGGGAAGCAGGCCTTTGTACAAAGCTAAAATCCTACAACCAGAAGGGAAAGAGCAACACTGTTATTCTGAAAATAAACGGAGTTGTACCTCAGTGTTATTAAGATGCTGGCCCAGCACTTACAGGGAAAAAAAAAAATTGAAATTGCACACATCTCAAACCAGACAGTATCTGGGTTAGTATTCTCGGCAGCAAATGGAATGCAGGGAAAGAGTTAATCAATTCTTTATTACCCAAGCTATGCTAGTCCTGTCCAATCAGAAACATGACTTTCATCAACGAGATGGTTTTTGCTTTCAAGACAGGTCTTACTTTCAAGACAGCTGTGTATATGGACAAAATGATTTTTGTAATTGAATTTAAAAGACCACAAACTCGGTCTTTATATTAGGAAATATGTGGCAGTTTAGATCAAAATTATAAAATATTACTTATTTACTTGAAATTAAAACATGAGTGAGGTCGGGGAAAGAGACAGAAAGTAAGACAAAAAAAAAAAGACCTTCGGAGAAAGGCATATACTTTAAATTTTTATAGGCAAACTATTTTTATAGAACTCTCAGATTTAATTCTCCCAGGATACTATAATTAGGTGGCATTTTGATTCGATTTACAGTCAGAAGACAATTATTCTCCTGTCCATATATTAACAGGACATATAATATACAATAGCACATTATGCAAACTGACAAGTAAAAAGTTCATCTTAGCATTCAAAGGCAAACCTACAGCATATTTTATGATCATGCCTCACAGCATGATTTGCTGGTGTAAGAACATTTTGACAACATCTTGTTACTGTGTTATCTTGCAAAGTTTGTCTTATGTATTCCACAGAGCTTCTTAGACACACACCCAACTTAGGAGGGCTTACTGGTTCCCATGAAAATAGCAGTACGAAAATAGCAGTACAATATGGTTTGAACAATACACGAGACTTGCACATTTATTAAAATAAGATTGTGTTACCCTTCTTCCTGGTAGACTGTTGCCATTGTTTTAAAACAGGTTCTGTACTTGATCTCTCCAGGAACTGGTTGAGGCCCTTGAATCCGACTTTTGGCAACATCAAAAGGGATGTTAATGACTGAGGCCATTGTCCCCGAGAGAACACCGATCCCAAATTTTCTCAAAAACTCCAAGTTTGGATCCTAAAAGAAAAGAAGAATAAAATAACAGAAAGGGGAGCGGAAGCCCCTAAATTGGTTAAACGCTATAAAGCAATATGTATTTAAGCAGAGCACTGCACTCTCGGCACCCTCCTGTTATTCCAGCGGAACACATTAGGATTTCCTAGGCTGGAACTTGTTTTCTTGACAATCCCATTGGCTATGTTTTTACACATGGTCTAAATTGCTGAAGTACACATTTCCTCACACAGGATTTATAAACACAGTTCATAAAGAAAGACTGGTATGGCATATGGGGATGATTTGTATAATTGGGCTTCACAATGTACTTAGTATTACTGTATCAAAACAGGAGAAATCCAAGCACACTATTAGCTAATTGGCCAGAATATTTTACAAATGACAGCAACTTCCACCATGAAGCCTACTAAAATGCTCATTTGTGTGTGGACCCCCAAATGTTAAATTAAATCAAGGCTACTCTTGGTCTGCTGCTATTCCCCTCCAGGTTTTTTGCATTTATTTTCACGTGTAGCTGATCCACTGTACTGAGAAGTGCTAGCTTCCTGTTATTAACAAACCAACTTGGGGCGGCTGCAAAACAGCCTGTGACATTCTGTGCATTATAAACAGTAGTAAGTCACTGGACTAATTGGCTAAAGAATTTACAACCCATTGTTTCTGAATCTTATTCTTCCTCCGTGGTAAAGGAAGAAAAGGGGAGAGAGTGAGAGAGAGTAAGCAAGAGAGAAATATTTCTCCTTTCCATATGAATTTAGGCCCTTCACATTGGTCTGATTTGATTTTCCACCCATCCCTGCTCTGCTTTCTGACATCAAAGTATTTAATTAGGTCTTATGTGGGAGTCGCTTTCCTTCAGCCTATTTCTGTGCCCAGTGAGCTCACATTATGCTTTGTTATAATGAATTTGCTGGGGCGCTCTCATTATGTTTTCTGTCTCAGTTCTGTGTTTTCAGCGCTCGGTTCTCTGAAGAGAAGTCATATCCCATATCATAAGCTGCTGACGCCGACTCCCACCCCATCCTTTCCCTGCCCTCTCTTTTGGCCAGCAGTTCAGAGCATCATCCCAGAGGAACAACACCAGGTCTAGCCACCCATGATACTATTTTACCCAGCAGAACTCAGGGCAGGGAAGCATGCCCTGCTTAAGCTAAAAGAAATTAAAGTCTGAGCATTGCATGCTTCCAGCTTCTATGAAAGTAGAAAAAATTCTGAAAGCTCTGAAATTTTCAACTAAACCAAGAGCCAGGAGTTACCATCACAAAAACTCCTATGTGGCTAAATATAAAAAGCGAGGGGTTCGGTAATAATTCTTGGATCTGGGCCATACAGGTGCCGGGGAGGTTTAAAGGGATTTAAAAACCAACAGGGTGTTTCAACAGGAAAAACAATGCAGTGATTGCAGTATGAGCGAGGTGTGTTTAAATAATTCCCTCTCCCCCCATTTTTCCCTCTTTTACAAGGAGAGAAAAATGCCTTTACGTTACTCTTCTCCACTATGGCACAGAGGCAGCACTGGAGCCCGGAGGATGGCGGTTCAGGACCCGCTCTGGTCACCTCACCTCGGATGAGTCACACAGAGCCCAGTGTGCAGAAAGGAAGTTTCTCACACCTACCTTCCCTCTGTACCACATCATTTGTCTGGGAAATAAAAGCCATAATAGAAGTAAAAGTGTTGTAAGTACAAGCCTGGCAGAAAATGACTAATATTATAATGTAGCCTGTTTTCTGAAGATGCAAAAAAGGATGCTCTCCTGGTGTTCATGTGACACAGCCAAGCTCTCTTTTTCAATTAAGGACAAGAGCGAAAATGACGACTTGTATGCACATTGTCCTCTTGAGTTCAGGGGACCTAACTGATGTGTCTGCTGGATGTCTGAGTTGGGAACCGAGGGTAAACCAAGACATTCAATGATGGTCATCATATTTGAGAGGGCATTAGAGACCAAGAGCTAAGGTCTCCAAGTTGTCATAGTGTTCACTAGCAGGAGTGAGTGTCGAACTGTGTTTTTATACATTTCCCAGCACCATAGTTAAGACCCCATAGTAGTTCTCAAATCTAGCTGTGCTTCAGAGTCACCTGGAAATTTTACAAAATATGGATGCCTGGGGCCCATGTCAGACCCTCCTTAGGGTCCCAGACCAGAATCTCCTGGAAAGTGCCTGAAAGTTGTTTTAAAAGCTCAGGGCTTCCGAAGCTACCAGCCTGAGGACCTGCATCTAGGAATAAGTGATTTTTATGTTCCACATAAGCAAAGCAAATGGGCAGTTGCTATCCTCGTGGGCACTCTAGGGAAGAAAAAAGTTCGCTGAGATGGCCAGGAGGGTGTCCCTTACCATCCAGCTTCTGGGCCCACAGTCAGTCTCCTCCTGTGACCCCACAGTCTGCTTTAATCCAGCATCCCAGACTGGGCCTGGGTGTGCCAGCGAGAGAGCCCTCTCGGCTTGCCTCTGCTTTCCTTGCTGCATGCTGCCCACCAGCCTCTCCTGAACGCAGCCTCTCCTCTCAAATGCCTCCCCACCTCATTGGCTTTCGTTCAAGTTCCATTACCATTACCAGGTATGGCTTCCTTCATGACTTCTGTGGTCTAGTCTTCACAGTGGCACAGATGGCACCAGGGTGGCAACTCTTTTTATAAAAACAGATCTGCTTCTGGAATCTCCCTACTCAAAGGCCCTCAATACCTCCCGGATGCATAGAGAGTAAAGACAAAGCAACTCACTTGGCCTCTGGTTTCTCTCCCACAATATGCTTCCAACTTATCTTTCTAACTGTGGCCACACACCAGCCCCCAATCCATACTATAGTCACACTGGTTTAATTCATAAGTATTTAAATATACCAAGCACTTTCCCAACTCCATGCCTGTCTTCATGCTACTCCTGCAACCTAGAATGTCTTTCTCCATCACGTTCAGCTAGAGCAATCTCACTCCCCTTTAAGGCTCAGCTTAAATCCCACCCACCCGGGAAACTTTTATGGATCCTCTTGTCGAAATTGATTTCTCCTCTCCTCTACTCCTAGAGACACTGTGTGAACCACAGTCATCACCCTTACTGTGACTCACTTAATGGTTGGTTTATTTTTGCATGTATTAATATCTATTTTCCCTGTGGGACTATGAGCCTGCACAGCACAAGAGCATATGTTACTCCTCTTTGTTTTGTCTGTTTTGTAGTGTACATAGCAGTTGCTAAGTAAAAATATTTGTTGATTGGCCTATCAATGCATATACTTATTTATTTTTGTAATAACAATAAGAATCAAGTTTAATCTTTAAGCATCCTTTCTCAAGACTCAGTGTCTTCTAGCTAGGAAATGAACCCTTATTATAATTTCACATTTCTCTCTATCAGGAGGCATTACTGTGGGGACATGACAAGGCATGGGCATTTGGAAGGTAGAGTATTTCATGGTGGATGAATTGAGACTCTCTGGTCACAGAACCAGACCTAGGCTTGCCAGACCCCATTGCTTAGTGGCTTGCAAAGAACAGGGCAATACAACAGCCTGTGACAAGATTTTAGCAAAACAAACAAACAAAAAATTGCAATTGACATAAAGTCTTGAAATATTACTCTTTGGGCTCTTTGCTCCTACACTTACCGACCTTTTCCTTAGTAGACAGAGCCATCCACTTGCCTCAAAAAGAATGAGGATTGTTACAGCAGGATTACAAAGAGAGAAAAAGGTAATAGGTACTGTTTTGGGTTTCAGATTAGGATCTTGATAATCAAAATGGAAGTCCTGGAGGAAAAGGCCTAATCTCGGAAAAGATTGGGGGCAGGGGACACCATGTGTGGAGTCCACATGGAGAGAAGGTACCGGGAGCCCCACCTGGGGCAGGAGGGAAAATAAGCAATATAGGAACTTGTTCCACTGAACCCATGTGAGCTTTTGAGGGGAACAAGGGGGCAGGGAGGTGGAGAGGACCAGTGGCCACGCTGAGGCCAAGGTACTCGTAGCTTGAAAGTTGGTTTCACGTTGGGCAGGGCTGGCCTGGCTCAGGAGCAGAGGCGAGGTGGGGCAGTAGCCTCCACCCACAGCCCTGTTAATTCTGCGGTTGCCTGTGGAAGCCCCGAGCAGCACCCAGGCAGTATCCAGGACAGCGCTCTGCTGCCTTCAGCTCCATCGCCCCGCCCCCACAGCCCAGGGCCCAACCTCCCCAACCTCCCTTCCCACAAGCACCTCACTCCGGGTCAGCAACATCCCTTTCCCAGCTCACGGAAGAGGTAAAGAGTTTAATGACATCAAACACTTAAGTACATATTTTGTGCCAGATACTGCTGAGTGCAAATTTCTATGCATTTAATCGGTTAATCTTCATAACCTTTGAGGTAAAAACTATTATTATTATTCCTGTTTTACAAACGAGTTAACTGCAAGGTTCAGTATAAGAAGGGAATTTTTGCTGCATCCAAGTGAACTCAAGACTTGGCCTCAAGGCACAGGTTTTCTTCTGATACTCCTAAGAGTCAGAAGGTGGGCCGGTGGGGGAGGTATCCAAGAACCTTCTGGAGTTACAAGCAATGCTCCTGTGTGTGTGGAGATGAGCTTTTCTGGGGAGAATGTCTATAGATTTTATCAGGCTTGTAAAAGTTTAAAAACAATTTCATGAGACCATTTTCCCTACCAATAAGTTTATAAAGTCAGGAAAGGGCAGTGCAGGTTTGGGAAAAACTGGGGCTGAAAACAGGAAGCCCTGATTTTCACAGGGGTTGTCAGGCAATTCACCTAAGTGAAAAGATTTCCACACGCTATCCCGCTGTGCAGTCCGGTCACTCATACCGTATCTATGAGCTCAGTGGTTCTCAAAGTGTGGTTTCTGGGCCACCATCATCAGTGCCACGTGGGGACTTATTAGAAATCAAAATTGAAGTTCCACCCCAGACCTACTGAATAGCCCAGCAATAGCAGTTTATTTAAACAAGTGCTCCAAGTTAATCTGGTAAGTGATCAAGTCAGAACTACTGTTTAACTGAAGTTTATGGCTCTCCCT